AACCTCTCCAAATCTACTGGGCGTAATACCTCCTGGGGAGTTAAAATATTTCGACGTAAGCCATTGAAACATAAAAGAATACATAAACACATACCTAAAATTCCTACGCAGATTCGATCAACATCAGCGAGAGTTACCTCCCTTACACCATTGCCATGATAGCAATGTAAAGCGTGACCAATGTGTCATCGCAAAAATTGCCAAAAATATAACGAGATTGACCAAAATCTTAACGTAAATTAAATATTTCGTTTTGTAAGATTTGAGATATGTTATGCTAAATGGATACACGGAAATTTCATTTAAACACAACGCCGTAATAGGACTAATAACAAATTCTTCCCACTTACTGTCACATTTGTACCCTGAACAAGGCAATCTTTTTCACTTCCAGAATGGCTTGGTTTCCGAGGTTTGGAACCCAAGTTCGAAGAGCTTCCTGCTTCTCAACTGAATGAGAGACTGAGGTTCTTTTATGCCGAAGTCAGAAATGCTGAGGGAGATCTTTACTCAAAATCGAGTTTTGTTGGGTTGCGTGCTGCCATACACAGGCACACATCAGGGGACCGCCATTTGAGCGCAGCATAAACATTATCCAAGACCGGGAATTTCACACTGCAAACAATGTTTTTCTGTCCATGATAAAAAAACTCAAGCGCGATGGCCTTGACCAGACAACACATCATGCTGCTATCCCCGAGAATGATTTTAAAAAAATTCGTGAAAGTTTGGATACGGAAACTCCTTCCGGCTTGCTTCGTAAAGTTTGGTTCGACCTTACACTCGGTTTCGCTCGTCGTGGTAAAGAAAACCAAAGGGAATTAACTGTATCTTCCTTTCTTGTATCCACCAATGAACAGGGGTTTTAAGTTCATTGAAATGACACACTCCGAAGTCACAAAAAATCACAAGGGGGACCTCAAAGACTCAAATGGGCCCAACAAACGCATTTATGCAACATCGGACCAATTCTGTCCTGTACTTTCATTAAAAAAATACATGTCTCTCCTCAATCCCAACAATGGTGCTTTTTACCAGGCTCCCAAGAGACGACTCCACGTCGACGACACCGAATGGTACACCACGAGGCCAGTTGGTGTAAATGTCATTGGCAACATGATGAAAGAAACTTCTACCAACGCTGGTCTCAAAGTGTATACAAACCATTGTCTTCGGGCAACTGCTGTTACTTTGCTGTCAAACGCAAGCATTGAAAATCGCGAGATTTGCAAAATTACCGGCCACAAAACCGATGAATCGTTGAAGTTGTATTCCATTGACTCGAGCTCGGCTCAAAAACGACATTATTCGAACATTCTTCAGGGACAGCAGCAGCTCGCTAACGAACGTAATTTGGTACCTGTCAAAGATACAAATATCCTGCCACTGTCCACTGCTCCCGTGAATAACTTCCAGCTTAATTCTTCTGCTAATTCCCATGGTCTCTTTCACATATGTAATTCCACTGTGACAGTAAACAACTTTTTCCATCCCAGCTAATTAAGCTGCATATCTACAATCCCGCACATGTTTGACCTCTCTTGTCACTACCACAGCGAGTTAACACTTTCTTGTATAGGGGCCAAACAGTATGTACGGCTTTTCTAATTTTGATTATTTGTATTTTATAGATACGCATAACTACAAATTAGAAGTAAGATGAGGAACTGTGATAAAGAATTGAATTTGTGATATTTCCTGTTGTTTGTTTATTTTCTGAGACATGGGCTTGAACATGTGGCCACCCCTTTCGTAAAATGAACCATCATTATTTGAGTACCTCGAAACCGTTGATCGGTGGCACGGGTGGCCCAGTCGTCTAAGGCGCTGTGAATCGCTGTGCTGAGTTGCGTCCCTTGGGCATGCCAGAAACCTATGATTGTGGGTTCGAATCCCGGTTCACCCCGATTATGTTTCTAGGTTTGTCAGCACCATACCCGTGCTCGTGGGTTTCACCGAAGTGGTAAACGTCAGAGACCTGCATCACTTCGGGCTTTCCTCCCACATTAAGCTGACACGCCGCCATGTAACTTGAATACTGTTAAAAGCGGCGTTAAACCCAACTTACTCACTCACTCATAATGTCCTGATTCTGTCTGTATTATATTATGATACGACGTGTTCTTTATACCAAAAATGCAAAAGGGACACTTAATCTATTCTTAATACGTCTAAACGTTTACAGACCATCAGGGGCGGTCGGGTAGCCAAGTGGTTAAAGCGTTCGCTCGCCACACTGGGTTCGATTCCCGATATGGGTACAATGTGAGAAGCCCAATTCTGGTGTCCCCCGCCGTGATGATGCTTGAATATTGCTAAAAGCGGCGTAAAACCATACTCACTCCCTCACTCACTTACATACCATCGTCTGCAGCTGAATTAAGTGTATCACGCTCAATCAATTCAAGTTTATTTGTGAAAGGTAAATCTGTGGAAGAAAATGTGTACGCGGACTCAAACTTATCGGCAATTCAAACTGAAACTAACTGAAATTGTGTACACCAGCCATAGTACACAAGCGCCGCTATCTCAAATGAGTTTATCTGTTCAGGCATTAGGCATTGTAAAAGGGAGATAACTGTGACGTGGGTTCAAGTAATCAAGTAAAGTGTTGTAATCTGTCTTTCTTTGGATCGACGAGATAGAACTGACCTGTCGAAGCGAACGTAAATTTCCCCGAAAGCCTTGCATTAAACCATGCACTTTCGTGACAACATTACCTCAGTGAGTTTCGTTTGTTGGTTGGTTGGTTTGTTGTTTAACGCCGCACTCAACAATATTCCAGCTATATGACGGCGGTCTGTAAATAATCGAGTCTGGACCACACAATCCAGTGATTGATATCATGAACATCGGTCCACGCAATTGGGATCGATGACCGTGCATCAACCAAGTCAGCGAGCCTGACCACCCGATCCCGTTAGACGCCTTTTACGACAAGCATGGGTTGCTGAAGACCTATTCTACCCCGGATCTTCGAAGCTTTTAGCAATATTCCAGCAATACCACGGCGGGGACCACCAGAAATGGGCTTCACACGTTGTACCCGTGAAGGAGTCGACCCCGGACCAACAGTATGACAAGCGAGAGCTTTAACCACTAGGCAACCCCACCATTACTCAGGGGGCCACGGGTGGCCCAGTCGTCTGAGGCTCCGTGATTCGCTGTGCAGAGTTGCGTCCCTTGGGTACGCCAGAAACCTATGATTGTGGGTTCGAATCCCGGTTCGCCCCGATTATGTTTCTAGGTTTGTCAGCACCATACCCGTGCTCGTGGGTTTCACCGAAGTGGTAAACGTCTGAGACCTGCATCACTTCGGGCTTTTCTCCCACATTAAGCTGACACGACGTGATATAACTGGAATACTGTTAAAAGCGGCGTTAACCCAACTCACTTACACACTCACTCACTACCTCAGTGTTTGCTAATGCAACTGTATGGTGACAATCGTCTTAATTGTGCTCATTGATAAACAAGGCCTTATCGGATTCTCTAACACCTGGTGTCACATTATATAACTTTACGACATTTATTCTTGAGAATACATGTGTTATTCATTTCTCTTCCATTTTCTCTGGTTTGTTTGTTTTCTTTGTTTGTTGTTTAACGCCGCAATCACCAATATTCAAGCTATATGACGGTGGACCATTTCCTCCAGACAAAAGCATGTGTAACTATTATGACGATTAATTCATTATTCAGAAATATCCAAACTTTAAGCTGCATTAATAAAAATCACAAACAATCCTATCAATGAAGATTTCTTTATTTACACGTTGGGGACGTCATTGGCCTCTTGATCATATTGTGAGAAAGAGAAAACAATATGTATGGTGGACTTAATGTGTACATATAAATTATGATGTGTTAGAATGGGATACAACAGATTTACCAGTAATCTGATTTGTATGTGACAGACTCAGACCAGATGATGTCTGTTACATCTGATACTACTACCGTTTGATTTTATTTGTATATGTGATGGTTACTCCAGCTCATCGATATCATTGTGCTCAAAATACTTATTTTAGAATATTATTTTCAAAGTTTTTTACTGAATCCTAGCTAACACATGTAAACTGCAAGTACACAAACAGAAGGCTGTTGTTAGGTTGTTTTGTTGTTTGACGCTGCACTCAGCAATATTCCAGCTATATGATTGTAGTCTGGAAATAATCGAGTCTGGACCAGACAATCCAGTGATTGATATCATGAGCATCGATCCATGCAATTGGGATCGATGACATTCATCGCCTGATCCCCTTAGTCGCCTCTTACGAGAAGCATAGTCGCCTTTTACGACAAGCATGGGTTGCTGAAAACCTATTCTACCCTGGATCTTCAGGGGTACAAACAGGAGGTACATGTGAACAAAATTGAAAAACGGATCAACTAAAGCATGATGTGTACACTTGGTACAGATGTCATGTCAAATGTGTTAGAAAAAGGCTGAAAAATATTTATGAAAAATAGTAAATTTTTAATCATAAGACATAACTAAATTATTATTTTATTCATTTAAACCCACACGATTGTAATCAAAGTGAGAATAACAATATTGACCATATGAGTAGGCAAGTCGTCTCGTGATGCGTTCATAAAAAACTGCTTAATGCATTGTAGAGCCTGTCGCAGTAATGTGCACAAAACAAAATAAAAAAATTAACACTAGTCTGTGCAATAAACAAACATATCATATAAGTATAAGAGTATACGTTCACCACTAGACCGGTGTGTATAGAAAGTGTCAACAATAATTTTAACAGATTTAGAGTCCTGCTCCTGAAACGGTTAACGGACGGACACATACGCATTGATAAGGTAGGTCACACTGTATCTGGGTCGCCACCTCAACATTATGTGTCGGTATCACTAAACAAACAAAATACAATATTCATTCAGACACAAAAATGGGTATGTATGATATGTGTGTGAAGATTGACTTCTGAGGAGAAAGTGTCAAAGTTGGTGTCCAGTCACTGTTGTGAGAGAGTGAACGATTAACGTTGATTCGACGTTATTTCATTCATACAGCAAGTTGTATAGCATCCATAATGGCTTGAGAAGAATGAGTGTATCCGCTGCATATACTGGATAGAGTCATGTTTCCGACATTTGTCCTGTTCACAGATGGCTTCATTTACCTTCTGACGAATCGTGTTCACACATTGTTTATTCTCTTGCACAGGCTCCCCATGTATGCCTCCTATTGTCCTGAACAATTCTTGTCTCTGATCGTTTGCCTTCTCGGACTCTGTGCCAGTGTTGACATTGACAAGCACAGGTGGGTTGTGGCAGAAATGGAGGAAGTCTTTCAGGAAATTAGGAATGTTCTCTAGGTATTCCTTCAAAGTGAGGTTTTCATCTAATGTTGTAAGCACGAGCACTATTTTATGTGACATGGACTTCCCCGCAATAGATCTGACATATTTGAAGAGCAGTTCTTCAGCATATGTCATTGTAGATGCCTTGGCGACAAGCAAGAAGGCATCAATGGAACTTTCCTTTGTCACCACCACATCGACTGTTGTCTGAATGTTCTGTTTGTTGTACAACGAAAACCCAGGTGTGTCCAATATTTGAATTGCTCTGTTACCAATTCTTACGCGTTTCTCTTGACATACTGCTGTGGGTTTCTGTAATCCAGCATCGAACAGTTTCTCACCTGCAATTGCATTGGCAAGAAGACTTTTCCCTGTCTTTGGGTAGCCTATGAGCCCAATACTCAGAGTTTCTGTGGGGGGTTTAACTGAAACAAATATGCAGCAATTTACATTTTTTTCTGTGTGTTGTATCTAGCTTCATTCAGCAGAAGTAAATGTACTGCTATCAATTTCCATCAGGAACAATCAGCGAACTATAGTTTACATTTTTCAAAAAGGTAAACTGATTCTGTGCCAAATATAGCTGTATCCATAATATTATTCATGGCAATTCACAACCTTGAAGTAAAAGAAGCCATCTGCAAGGGATTGAAGAAATTAGGATAAAAATATTCTTACGTTCACAGGCATGACGATAATCTAAGTGTTACTAACCTTCGTCACGTTCGTAGATCCTCCATATTGGAGTCCTAAGTGCCTTCAACGTGTCCTGAATGTCCTTGAACTGGTGACGTGTGGCAGCTACAATGATGTACTTGAACTGTGACCAGTCCAGACCAGACTGACGGAAGGAGTCAATTGTCTCGATGGTCCCTTCAGCTGGGACATGACTGAAAGATGGCATGTTCTTTACTCTCATATCTTAACACTTCCATCACGCAAAGATTACATGTTAGTACACGTGTTATTATTATGCACAGTTGAAGAAGTTGCAAAGACATCAGCACTAGCCTAAGTCTCTACACCTATTAATTGTGAAGAATACCTCCTAATGTTAGACTGCTTTAGCAGCCTCTGTGCAGATAATTCTCAATCAACGTAGTTATATTCAAACCTTTCAGTTTAATATATCATGCCTGATACAGTATTACAATAGCTCTGATGGAGTATATTAAGTATGTTGTCTGCAAACCTACTTTTGTTTGGTCTTTTCCTCCACGCTGTCATAGATGAGCAGTGTTTTACCACTGCGTTCTAGTCGTAGGGCAGCTTCAAACATGAACACTGTTTTCCCAAGAAGTGTTTCAGATACATCTGATGGTTGGCGTAGATCAACATTGTTAAGTAACTTTGAAAACTGTTCTTTCATCAAAACCCAAAACGATCCCTTTCCCCCCTCTTTAGGTGCCATAGGAATACTTGTTCTTGCAGCTGTAGCTGTTAAAGCTTTCTTCAGCCCTTCAAATTTGGAATCAGTCATGTGTTTTTGATCAGGAAAGCAGGATTCAATTACCGTAGACCTTCTTTTATGGACAGTGGAGTGAAATTTGGTCTTTTTCCCATATATTTTCTCTTCAGTGGCCAAAAAGATGAAAGTGAACCTTTCTGCTGTGTATTTTCCAAATGTCACCCTCATGCGATGGGCCAATTCGGCATTATATTTGTCAATAGCATCATCAACTGCTTCTGATGAGAAAGATATAACAAAAGGTAGGCACTTTCGTGTGATGATCAATACATCACACTGCAAAACATCAGGTGGTTTGTGACAAGGCAAGTTTAAGGTTGTTGCCAGCGACCGACCAAATAAAGCAATGCCCCTTCTATTGTATTCTAATAAATCTGCCACACGTTTCACCACATGTGGATGTTTCTTCTTGAGGTCGCTGACAAAGTTCACTGGAAGCATTGCTTGCTCTGTGTAAGTAAAGGTTTATATAGTTACGTGTATGTAGTTACATATGAACAGCGGGCAGGCAATCCAACAGTCATAAAGGGAACAAAACTAGCATTCGTAATCAAGACCAGCGCATCATAGCTTGACCAATGGTTGCACCGCACACAGCGAGTTACAGAGGCTTAGATCAGGGTGCCTTCAATGAAAAACATACCAGTTATCTTTAAATAAATGAGCTCATGTATATGTAATATACACATTATGTAATAGAAATCACTGTCTGAACTCTTAATGTCACAGTTTATCAACCAACTTGACATCATAGAAATTAGACAAAAGGTTCGAACAAAATCGGCTTCATTTGTAATTGCTTTCTTGTGTTTGTAATTGAATAGATCCGTTTGTTCAGTTTGTTGTTCGCTAAACGCTGTACTTTGCAACATTCCTTCAATATGAGGATGAGATCTCATTCGCGATTCTCTCAGCTAAAGGTCAACAGTCGTAATGTGCAATGACATTGTTGAATTGTAGAAATGTACAAGATTACGTCCTTGTTTTAGCCGCTTAATGTCGAGCGCCAGGCAGGGTAACAACAAGTACCATCTTTTAACGTCTTTTGTTATGAGACGCGGTGTGGATCGAACCCCGGACTTTCCGCTCTCCGGGCAGACGCTCTACCACAAGACCACGGAGGCGGTCCTCGGAATTATGGAATATCTGTGCTTGAATCTTGTAAGAATATTATTCATTCGAAAGACACAGAGTCTGAAAATACTTGTAAAGTGTTTGTTATTCTGTACCTTGTGAAAAATATGTCTGAGCATCATCGAAACTGTCACCAAGGCAGAAGGTAGTTGGAGGAAATGGGTCACTGCATGGTAATTTCAGCTGGTGTTTTTCACTGTCTGTATCTGATCCTGAAATTAACATGAATATATTTAGGAAAAAGGTTCTGAGGTCCTTTAGGTTTTTCTGTAGGGATTCTGGGAAAGTGTTGGAACCTGTGGTCAGACTCTGTGACTTCCTAAATCTGTGTATGCATACCCGTAGGTGTTAGACGTTGCTAAAATCAAACAAGTATTTGCAGACTATCATGACATAGCGAGAATATTAATTCACTCACTTCAACAAGTGTCGCCTGTCTATTCCCATATAAAATCAAATATCTTAGCCTTGAAACCAGTGTGAAACTAACAAACAAACAACAAGTGGTGTACAATCAACAAATGTATTACAAAATTAACTAGGCTTACAAATCAATACAAATTACTGCACAGCTATTACAATGGCAGTACACAATAGAGTGGTAGTACAATATTCAGTGACAATACATAATATGATGGCAGAGTGCAGTATCAAATACAAAATACAGTGGTGATAGTAAAAGTCAGTGCGAACCATAGAAACATAGAGAAGTATGTACGTTAAGAAGAGATGTTTCCAATGTGTACCCCTTAATGACAAAACTAACAATCAGTGAAGTTTAACACAGTTTCTTTATTCTTATGCTGCACGTGATGACAAATGAAGACAAAATGAGTCATGGATCTACGACGTCCAATGTGTTCAAGCGCGTCGGGTCATACACCATAACAGTATGTTCGTTTTGCGAATATGAGTAATACTTTATATATTAACCATCATGTATGGTATTAGTCTTCTTTTTGTCGGTGAGCATATATTCACCCAGCGGTGACTGTGATCAAGCTTCCGAGATTGGCTAGACTGGGAGTCAGGGATCATGAGCGATACTTGAAAGATGGTTTCGAGGCGATGAAATACATGAGAGATACGTTAACACTCTTGTCCCACTATATACACAGCCAAGCAAGATAGCAGCACAAGAACATTACTGAACTTTCATATGTTTCTATAACATACTATCCTCGTCAGCAGTGTTCATCGGAAGTTTACACACCACACAAGCATCCAAACATAGAAACTTTTAGACGGCTGATCACTTTCCAAACAATGCAATGAGCGTCTACCGAATCTCAACAAAAATCAATGTAACACAGTTACAATCATTGTTCAACCATATAACACAAGGAAGACGAAATGTTAACGATTATAAATGTTTCTTATTGGAATTGAATCTGGAATCGCGACTGATTACGTCTCATATTTTATTAGTTTACAATCAGATTTCACAGTTGAGATTATCTTTACAGCACCGATAATTAACTATCAAAGATGATTGGTTGGTTTGAAGATAAGCAACTGTAAATATAGATAAAGGTCTTTATTTAAAAAATCCGCAAATATTCCATAAACACCTTCAACAAGCGCCAACCTTTTGTTCTTAACATTGATTGTATTTGCCTTGATACATGTTGATATATTTGTTATAGTGCAAAACATTTCAATACTTTTACTTAAATAGTGCAAACCATTTCAATACTTTTATTTAACATTTCATTTATCTAAATACCTAACTGGTTCAATATGTTTCCAAGTTCACCGAAATTCTATGCCCTTTGTCTGTTTAATATATTCAGCAAACATTCGGCGTTCCCCTCTTATCATACGCCCCTCCGGGCAGGACCCTTAATCTCCAGCGCTATCTATAAATTTCAATTAACACCTCCTAACGTCGCCGGATCTTACGTCTATACATACACGTGGGACAATGACCTTGCCACACGTTACGTAATACCTCGCTCAACAAAACCCGACTGACATGGTCAGTCAGGGAGACAGCCTAGAGAAGAGCCAGAAGGTAAGTGACAGAGCGAGTCTCCACCCGGGAACATTGGCCACTAGGTCCCGGTGTGCGTTCTGTCACGTTCTTATCAACATGTACCTTTGCGACTCATTTCAACCATCAACAATAAATATGGCTGCTGTCGTCTAAACTTCACTCCTGAGTTTTGTCTTCCGTCATCACCCTGAGCTACCATCCGAGGGCCGAAACTTAGGCCCTTGGACATATTGTTTGATTTTGTCACACCATTCATCTAACTCAAGTCGCCTCACAATTTCTACAGCATCATCATATCTATATGACACAGGTCCACATTTATCAAAAAATAGAAGTCCTCGATATGCAGGCACATGTACAACTAGAATCACCTTTTCCTTGTGAGATTTTGTTTCGATGCCGATTGATTTTGAATAATTTTGCATTTTATCAACAACAAATTGTTCAGTCACTGCAACCATTTCCTTCTCAATCTTCTCCTTCAGAAAGGCTTCCACATTTCCTGTTGTTTCGTTTGAAAAAGGAATGCCTGTAAAATCAATATATTTAGTGTTATATCGCTGTAGTATGTTTACTTGTTCAGCTACCCCACAGTAATAGGTCCCACCCTCTTCCAGTTTGGCAAATGCACTGATGTTTTCACCTAATTCCAATTTGCCCCAGATTATGGCCGCTGCGCCTTCGTGACTGACATCAGGTCCGACAGGAGGAAACCTCTTCAGCTGTACATGCCTACTTTCATGCAGATCGACAAGATCATTATCCCTCTGTTGTTGAAGTTGTTGCTTGTTCCTTTCTTGCTGACGTCTTGGTGACAGAGTCCTCATGAATGTTCTAAGACTTGGCAGATCAAGCTCCAGAAGACAATCGTCCAGAGGTAGTTTGGTCTTCATGTCCGCAGTGGTTAATGTACTGTTTGATGCAACGTCAAACTTTATCACATAACCACTGCCTTTCAAATGCGTCCTTTTGAAGTTATTTACAAATAGTTCGCCTGGCGGTAAGAGTAGATTCAGTTTTGTATCTACCATCTCATCAAACCCTCCAATGTATTTTCCTGGATCCTTCGTGTTCTTACCGAGGAGATGTACAATTATACTTCCACCACCAGAAACATTTTGTAGAGCACACACATTTCGTATGAAGCTATTCATAATTGCTTTCCGTTTATCAAGGAGGTCAGGATTTGCTTTTTTCTGTTTCTGTGATTTACTGTTGACAGCTGCTATGTCCATGTGCATACTCAACACGTGTCCCGTCGCATTTTTCTTGACGTTTGAGACACACGTGGTACACACGGGACAAGAAATATCTATCAGCATCATATTTGACCCCCCGAGCAGCTTTCCCTCTACTGTATATCGATGATCCTTGTCAACTGCAGTACTATCTAATTCCTTGAGAATGTCTTCAGTAGTTCCAACGACATCTTGTACTGCTGGGATAGCGTTTGTTTCTTCAAATGTGAGGATTACAGATGTTGATCCATGACTATATAAGCGTTCTATATGTTCCTGAAGATGATCCTTGTATTTGGCATTTTCCTGGAGATGCAGACATGACACATCAGGAGAGCCCGGACTAGTGTCCAAGAAGTCTTTACAGTGATGGCATGGTTCTGCAAACAAACCATGATGAATCTTTATTCAAAACTAGATAGATAGATAGAAAAATAGGTTCTGTTATTAGCTATCTAATAACACAGTTCCTACACCTCAATGACCTTGACAGTCAATTTCCAGTCATGAATGCTCAAAAATACGGTGTATACACAAGTTTCTTTGGACGTCTACATTCCACCTAGTGACCTTAACCTTCACATACGGAAACTTTAAAAACATTCAAAGTCACGACACAGCGCAGAAAGTGCTTCCACACGCGTTTATTGTAGGCCAGCTACATGGACACATTCAGTAGACATGAGGGCTTCCCCCACGATTGGTCAGACATTTGTTTAAAGGCGGAGGGAGTCTTGTCCACAGTGATAAAGCAGGTTCCGTTCGGACCGACCTAGCTTGGCCCCATAAACGTCACAGAAGGTGTAAGTTCACAAATGGAAATGAGGTCATAATCGTATGTGACTTTGTATAGGTATTCTGGGAATTTCCAAGAAGTGACGTCAAAACATTTCTGTTCATGAGCTTATGTGACTCTCAAATTGGTGAGAATCATCGGGACATTACGACTGTCATGGTTTCGTGAAAGTCTCGCTACAGAATTGACGTCACCATCTGTTGGTCAGATTTGTGTGACAGGAAAAAAATGGTGGACCCAATAACTGTCCTTCGTGAGCATGGTCCGAATCAATCTCACAATGACAATTTGAGGGAAGCGTGTCCACAATAATATAGCAGATATAGCAGGTTTCGTTTGGACAGGACCGAGCTTGGCCCCATAAGACGTCACAGAAAGTGTAAGTTCACAAACTGAAATGAGGTCATAACCGTAAATGACGTTATGTAGGAATTCTAGGTAATATCCATAACCAGAAGTGACGCCTTAACCGGAAATGACGTTGTATAGGTATTCTGGGAATTTCCAAGAAGTGACGTCAAATAATTTCTGCTCATGAGCGTTTGTGACTCTCGGATTAGTGGGAATTATCGGGACATAACACTACAAACACGGAAACGTCGTATATATGGTCATTGGACGGGAAAACAACGTTATTTGGACGCTTTCAAACCATCGGTTATTTTCGTCCAAATAACGTCGTTATTTGACATCGGAATTTACTGGGAGAGACCGATATCATCAAGCTCCTCCCTTTCTTGATTGACATTGTCAATCACGCAACAGCGTCTACCGGTAATATTTCTTCTTAGATTTCATTGGTCAGTTCTCGCGTGTGAGATTACAGGCCCGAGTTTGACGCTGTAGTCGAAGCGCTTAGCGGAAGTACTGAAATTAATCGTTCTACGCATGCAGCTTGTTTAAAGCCTTGTCCAAATTTTCCGTATTTCGCGTATTGTTTTCTACATTTAATGTCACCACTATTTGACAATGATTCATAAACACATTCTCGTGATAAGTTCGGAATCGTACAATGTCGCTTACATGTATGGCACGTACTTGATCGGCACCCATTTCCCATTAACTTATACAATGATAACGGTGATCATTTTAGTCAAAATAATTAGAAAAGCGCAAGGCTAAGGAACGGCTTAGTTTTTGAAAAAGATCAATACTTTCGCAAGTTATATAATCGTATAATAC